CTTGGTGCTGATTAATGAGAATGTAGACTTGAACAAAACAGACATTCCTTCACTAAATATGCTGTTTACTGTGGAAGGTAGCTATTAAACAGGAGGTTCCTAGGTCTTGACGAGTACTCCAGGACTTTCCTCCCTGTCTTATTTCATTTTTGTTAAAGTCTTTCACTAACCTGGGGTGACCTATACTATGAAATTGTTTACTTGTATGTAGCCGTTTAGGAAATGCAAATGAGGTTGTTGAGAGTATTCAGGTGGCAGAAGAGCATAGCAGAGATTTAGGAATATTTTAGTACCGAGTAGGTATATATACAATTAAAGGAATGTTGTTGTTGTTGTTGTTGTTGTTGTTGTTATGTGCTGTTGAGTCGTTTACAACTCATAGCGACCCTATGTACAACAGCTCTAAACCGTGCTTTATCCTGTGCCAATCTCATTGCCTCTGACACACCCATCCCGATTACCCCAGTCACTGAATCAATCCACCTCCTAGAGGGTCTTCCCCTCCTGTGCTGTCCCTCCACTCTACCCAGCATGATGTCCCTCTCAAGGACCTGTCTTTCCTTACAACATGTCCAAAGTAAGTCAGACGAAGCCCCAGAATCCTTGCCTCCAAGGAGCAGCCTGGTTTAACCCTCTCTAAGATGAATCTGTTTGTTTTCTTGGCAGCCCATGGGACATTCAATACTCTTCTCCAGCACCACAGCTCAAAAGCATCCACTCTCCTTCTGTCCTCCCTAGTCATTGTCCAACTCTCTGATGCATAACAAGTGATTGCAAAAACTATGGCCTGTATCAGACGCACCTTAGTCTCCAGAGAGACACTGCTGCTCTTGAGTACTTTAGAGAGGTCCCTAACCGCAGACTTTTCCATCGCAATACGCTTTTTGATTTCCTGGCTACTGGTACCAAGAGTGTTGACCGTGGAGCAGAGCAAACTGAAGCTGTGAACAATCTCGATCTCTTCACCATCGATCCTGATGCTACCGATTGGTCCGGTGGTGAGAATTTTTGTCTTCTTGACATTGAGCCTCAGTCCATATTGAAGGCTGCAGTCCTTGACCCTCTGCAGTAAGTGCATGAGGTCCCCCTCAGTTTCAGCGAGCAGGATTGTGTCATCTGCATAACGCAGATTGTTGATAGATCGTCCACCAATCCTAACACCACGCTTCTCCTCATAGAGCCCAGCCTCTCGGATAATCTGCTCTGCATACAGGTTTAAAAGGTGTGGAGATAGGACACATCCCTGGCGTACACCCTTCCCAATCCTGAACCATACAGTGTTGCCCTACTCTGTTCTGACGACTGCCTCTTGGTCCAAGTATAGGTTTTGCATTAGCACGATTAAATGTTCTGGGATTCCCATTCTTCTCAGAGTCAGCCACAGTTTGTTATGATCCACACAGTCAAATGCCTTTGCATAATCAATGAAACACAGATAGACATTCTTCTGGTATTCTCTGCTTTCAGCTAAGATCCATCTAACATCAGCTACAATATCCCTAGTACCATGACCCCTTCTAAACCTAGCCTGGACTTCTGGCTGTTCTCTGCTGATGTACCGTTCCAGTCGGTTTTGGATAATCTTCAGTAGAATCTTGCTTGCATGTGAAATCAATGATATTGTTCTGTAGTTTCCACACTCAGTTGGGTCGCCCTTCTTTGGGATGGGAATAAAGGAACAGAGGTCTGGAAATGTGAATTAGAATCAGTGAGCCTATGTCAGGAACACACTTCTAAAATTTTATATGCTTCATGTCAGTTATTCTCAGAAAAACCTTGCAAGCAAAATGGCATTCTCTCATTTTTCAGAGGTAGCATCTGAGACTAAAAGATGTTTATCGTCCAAGATCACAGCAAGCAACCTGGGATCCATTCACAACCTTCTTATTCTCAAGTTTGGGTTTTATTAGTGCAGTATCTTTAGTAACTGTAAAGAGTCGATGTCCTGTGATGCCTTGATGAACTTATCGGTATTTTCCAGTATACCTTCCCTCACTGTCTCTATTTTCGCTTCTTTTAGCCACACTGATGAGAGGGCAGTGGTAGTTCAGTGATAGAACACTTGTCTGCTTCAGGGAAGTCAAGGGTTCTTTTCCTGGCCAGTGCAACTCATGGGCCCTCACAACTTGTCTGTAAGTAGAAGTTTGCATGTTGCTTTGTTGCTGTACAGATTTCAGTGAGACTTTTCAAAGGAAGGCATGGCGATCTACTTCTGAAAATTAGCTCTTGAAAAGTCTGTTCATCACAATGTTCTGACTGCCTTGTGCAATGAATGGCTGCCTATGGGTTAGGTGCTGGCCTGATGGCCGCCAACAACAGTGACAGCTGTGCAGATTTTTATGATTCTATATTGGATCTCCATGAAGACAGAGGACATTTATCTTGTATTTTCTCATATTTCTTAGCACATTGTTTTGCCTTGTAGATACTCTACAAATGTAACCCTGACCCCACATAAGTTTATATGTGCCTTAACAGAAAGTAATCACCAACTACATGACTGGCATTGCCTGAGTTCTATACAGTTTTCTTAGTGTCCCCAGCTTCCTTCAAAGGGATCATATGTGCACATCCTTCCAAACAAAAAGAAATTTACTTCAGTGATGACCTGTAACAACAAGACGTCAGACAAATAGCTCATGTCATTCAAGTGTATAGGCCAGCACAGGAATTATTGGCCTAAGAAGACTTTATCCTATGTTAAAGTCTATCTGGTAAGGATTTGGGAGAGATTGTGATAATCAGGAGTTCCTGGGTGCTGCCAACAGGTAACTCATTGAAGTTACTCAGAGGCACCTTGGGAGGAAAGTAGCAATTAACTTGTGAAGGGAAAAAAATCAGTGATTGAAAACCCTGTGTAGTTGACGTGTGTCGGACTAAACCCGGTGGCATCTGGTCCTGCCTCTGTGGAATATTCAGTATGAAGAAAGAATAGCTTATGGAGGAAACAGCTGAGTGAAAATCTCTTAGTTGGTTTTTTGTAATGTTTTGTTTGTTGTTGTTGTAGTATACAGTTGAGTCGGAACCGACCCATAGCTGACCCTCCAATAGGTTTTCAGAGGCAGTTAATTGCACAGGAGGAGATTGTGCGTCTTTATCCCATGAAGCAGCTGGTGGATTTGAAATGTATGCCTTTGAGATTTCAGCACAGCTTCCTACCACTTGGCTGTTAGAGCTCACTATCTTTTGTTTAGTTGATGTTTGTTTTGTATTTTTTAAAGGAAGATCATTTTAATCTATCTAAATTTGTAAGGAAGAACATTTTAATACATCTAAGACATTAAATATTCTTTGGGGACAGGGATGTAAGGTAGATTGTAGACTAACAGGATGTCAAAATGTGTCCTTTAAGTAAAGAGTAATCAAAAAAGGAATCTGCACAGTGAGAAGTTGTATCCTGAGAACAAGAATGCATAAGAAAGGACAGACAGGCAGACCTACAAGAAGATAAAAAGTGATGGAATCTGAGAGATAAACAAGGCTTCTGTTTGCAGGAGAATTGACATGACCACTGCTTTAGGACAGTACATATGTATATTACTGTACATTAAACATAATTTTCCAGGGGAGCTCTGGTGGCCTAGTGGTAAGGAGCTGCAACTACAATCCCAGAGGCGCACGGTTCAAATCCACCAGATGCTCTGCCTGGGAAGGAGGGACAATCTCCTCCTGTACCAGTCAGATCTGATTTGACGGTACACTCACACACACACAAAATAATAAAATAAAAATTTAAAAAAAATAAACATAATTCTCCAAGTCTGAAAGTTTGTTGCTCTTTGCTGTCAAAAACCAAACTCACTACCAGCACATAGAAACTGACTCATAGATGATCCTCCACCAGTTTTTCAGAGGCAGCAAATGAAGACATAGGAAGATTGCCCATCTTTTCCCCACAAAACAGCATCTAAGAGACTCTAACCACTCACCTTTAGGTTACCAGTGCAATTCCCTACTTACAAGGCCACCACTCACTAAAACGACTTGTCATCCCTGTGAATTCCTTTCTCACCTAAGTTCTTCATGATAAAATTTTTCTAGAAAGACACAGATCTAGCATGGGGAAAGATACATTAGCAATATGAAAAGAAAGTATACTAAAGGGTAGAACTAACTAGAAATTTTACTAAGGAAATTGAAGACTATACCATCTGTGAGAGAAGTTGAGATATAAAAGTAGTCAGGTTTAATAGACTTCTTCCTGAACTACTTCACTTTGACTAAGGAATGTCTGTCTGCAGCCGTGTGTACATGTTTCTGTTACTTGATGACTGAATGATTTCCTTTCTCATGTGGGAAGAGTGCTTGGATTAATTGTCTGTGGGCGGCTGTGTGTATGCATAAAGGAGGCAGTGTTGTCAGAACATGTTGGATTTCCAACCGTTTTCCTCACACCTATGATGCCTGCATTCTTTATAATGTTGTCATTTTTAAATAAGTATAAATGGATCTCATATACCCTTGTTAGGAAGTAAATGGAATAATTTTTTATAAACTTACTTTAGATCTTAGTTTATATTTTTAAAAAATAGTACAATCTCATATTGCTCTGTGTGTGTGTGTGTGTGTGTGTGTGTGTATATATATATATATATATATATATATATATATATGAAACCAAATTATTAAAATAATAACATTACCAAGGAGAAATATTAATACTGACTACATATGTTATTTGAAGTAAAATTAAAAGTTAATTTTTTTTAAAAAACAAAAGAAAAGTTTTTCAATAGCCAAAACTTACTATGTAGGGTACGCCCACATCAAATGCTTCTATTAAGACTTCAGTTCAGTTGACACTTTTTTTTTTTACTTTGACAAGTTCCAAACTTGAAAAACAGGATGTTGCCAGTGAAGCTTGAGGTGAACTGGAAGGTGGGCAGAGGGCCAGCACCACCAACCAGCATGGAGATGCTGTGGTTATTGCATTTCAGGGCTGGGAGACGCAGCCCCACCCCTGCAGACAAGAGCTTCAAAATGTATTTTCTGTTTTTCAGGATGAATCTTCAAGTCATGAATGTAACCAGCGCACGATCCTTCTGTATGGAGTTGGCAAAGAACGTGATGAAGCAAGACATCAGCTGAAGAAGATTACCAAAGATATCCTGAAAATTCTAAATAAGAAGAGCACTGCAGAGACGGGGGGTAAAGAGCCTTGATGAGTCTCCTCCCATTTTGTTGTCTGCCATCGCTCCTCTTTGCAAGTCTTTATCAGAGGTTGCACGTCACGGTCACCAGAGGATTTCCTCTTCTGAATGACTGTGACCCTGACATGTGAATAAGCACTGATACGGCCATTTCAATTCCAAGGCCTTGTTTCCAATTATAGGAATGCACATATTAAAATAACATGTTCTACAGATAGGTATTGATAATGTGTAATTATTACTTTGTTTCTTTTTCATATTTCTCAAACTGTTTACTGAAGTAATAAATAAAGTGCTGAAGATAAAAAACCCTAAGTTCAAAGAGGTCCCTTTATTATTGTTTTGTTTCTTTAACCATCATTTTTTCAGACTTGTAGTTTGCTTTTGCTTTGGACCCTCCTATTTGCATATTAATGGAAACTGACCGTATAGTTGCTGATTGAATAATAATTATAATAGTACTATAGTGCCAATTCACTTCAGATGAAAACAAAACAATAAAAGGGTCACTTGCTCTATCCTGTCTTGCTTAGTTGACCTATTTTTCCTCATTTTTTTTTTATATTGTTTGTTCAGGTGAAGATACGCCTTTGTAATTATGTTACTAATCCAGTTTTAATTTGACAACCTTGCTTAGAAACACATTTGCCATCATTTGTAGCAACGTGTTAATTATTCTTTGCAAGGTTTATATCATTTTTAGTTAAAATATGGTGCATACGCCCCATTACACCTTTTGTGTATCAGGTATTTAAATAATAGAAAGATTTATGTTTGTCATATATATGCATCATTCTTTCTACACATGACATAAACCACCTCTAGGAAACCTACTACATTATTCAGTACAAAATAAGTAATTGTTAATTGAATTTTGTCACCAGGCTTCTAGTCCTTAGGTGATAACAGGACTAATTATTAGAGATTATCTACTCTAGCTATTTCCTGGAGAAAAGTACACAAGTAAATATTGCAAAGAGCCTCTCTCTCCTCTCTGAAGGAGTAATGAACACATGCAGAAACATAATACAAGAGTGACCTCGTTTTCCTTTTGACTAGATGTTCTGGGTGTCTGATTCCTAAGGGGAAATGAGAAAGTTATCTTCATATGATTTATGTCACACTGGCTATCCCTTTTCCATTCCCAGTTAAAAACTTTGTAATAGATTAGGTTCTCAAATTAGCCAAGACTTGTGGCAAGAGAAGTGAAACTTCTGCTTGTAGGTCTCTCATTGCTAAAGCTTGAAAAAGAATTTGCTTCTAAAAAAAAAAGAATTTGCTTCTGTCTAAAAAGGATGTTGATCTGTTATTTTGCTGTTTTCTCTCTCTGAAGAAAGAGGAAATGAGTAGAATTTAAGATGATCCAGCCCTATAACTTTTTAGTAAAGAATACTTGAAGTTGCTTTTATATACTTGGAACTGGGGTGAACACTGTCTTCCCTTAGGTGACTCTGTAATACATGTTTTACTTAAAGTAATTTTAGAGAGACTTTTCAGATCCTTTAGACTTCTTGTTTTGGGAAGTCTAGGACTCAGCTGAGAGGAGGCAGTGGAGAGAAGAGGAAGGCACTGTGGTGTCCTCTGCTGTCCAGTCTGCTTCCTTCCTTCATAGATACTTTGAAGAACAGACCGGAGTCTATCCCATCGGTGTACCAAACCCTTAGGCAGGCAGTTCCCATTCATGAGTGCAGTGAGAGAACAGCATTATTACTCCGTGCTGTTTTTTGAGTTGATCACACACCTGTGGAAAGGCATCTTCAGAAATACGTTAATTAGAAAACACTTATCATCTAGTATGAAAGGGTGGGGATGTCTTTTGGAGGGAGGGCAAGGTAGAAAATTGGTAGGTTAGGGAAACAAAACTTATTTCTAATGTGTTTGATTTCTAATCACTCAATAGAAGTATTCTCAAATTAGCTAGGCATTGGCTAGGGAGTTTATAATTTTAAACTTGTAAAATAATTTCTCATTTGAAAATTGTCATTTTATATTGACAGTCATGAATCACTTTTTGGCTGTTAATGCCAATTCTTCTGAATACATTAAAGGAATCCACTGTGATTCCTGTTATTCCTGCTGAGTTGGAATTGACTCCTAACTGACTTTCCAGCAAATTTTAAGAGACTCTAAATCTCACAGAGAAGATTACATATCTTTATCCCAAAGAAGCAGCTGGTAGATTTGAACCACCTGTCTTGGGGTTGGCAGCACAACACCTTATCCATTAGGCCACTTTTGAAAGGCCAAAACTTGTGAGATGTATATGTGTGTGTGTGTGTGTGTGTGTGTGTGTGTGTGTTATATGTGTGTGTATGTATCTCCATAAATATATACCTAAAGTTAAACAGCAGGAGAACAGTAATATATATTAACAAATGGAATAAATCATAAGTATTGTGACAGCATTGAGAGCTACCACTAATTATATATTTCCTTGAAATTTGCTATCACTTACCAATTGCTATAGTTTGGGGGTTTTTTAAATTTATTTTATTATTTTTTGTGCATGTACCCTCAAATCAGATCTGACTGGTACAGGAGGAGATTGTCCCTCCTTCTCCAGCAGAACATCTGGTGCATTCAAACTGTGCACCTATGGAATTGCAGTGCAGTTTCTTGCCACTAGGCCACCAGAGCTCTCCTTGCTATGGTTTTTAGAATGAGACAATACCCAGTCCTCATTTACAGACATGATCTCAAAGACTAGATCATTTTTCAAGAACTGGCATCCTTCAGAACTTTAGTACCATGTTCCTCCAGGTTCTCTCCTCTACAGCCTCTCTCCACAGCACTTTGACATATCTTAGCACTCTGTCTTTCATACTCCAGTGGGGTAGCTTTTGCTCCAGTAGCTAGATCAGCTTTTTGAGGCTATATGTGAACTTGGGAGATAGTAGATTGGCTTTTGTAGTTTCAAATCATGGATATAGCAGATAGCCTCAGCATTTGCAGCCAGGAAGGAACCCCACCACCATCTCAGCCTAAATAGAGGTTTTTACACTGATCCATTTCACACTGCTACCTGCTGGCTTCAGTGCCCCTGAGTATACAAATACCATTTCTTAGTGAATGTGTGTCTGCCACCTTCTTACATATTTATAACCCAGAGCCACAGCTTTGTCACCAGTCCAAAGGCTTAGCTGAGATCTCACCAGGCATGTGTACAGGCTATTGCCACAGTCCCCAGGCACCAGCTTTTTACTTTTTTTGTTACCCCTTTCACCTTCACTTTTTATCTAAGACTAAGGAGAGGGATAGGATTGGAAGAATCCAGGATTTGGGGCTCAGAAAGGAGGCACTCTGTCATTCAAAAATTGAGGGTCTTGTGCTTGCTTCAGCAAAACATATGAAAAATTGGAATGATACAAATAAGAGCAGTATAGCCCCTGTGCACATATGACATGCAAATTTATGAAATGTTCTATAATTTTGAGGGTAGGGAACCCCACCAAAAATTAAACACAAAAATACCTTAGGAATCTTTATCTCACTTTAAGGTAATTTAAATGGAGAGTGGAAGTTTCCACTTTCTAGAAGCTGTAGGTTTGAAGGACTTGTTAGTTTTTACTCTTTCCATGACAATCTTGTATCTTACATTATGCCAACCCCTCTTTTATTCTAATACCTTTTGGCATTGAATATTTCTTTTTTTTTTTAATTTATTCTTTTCTGTTTGTATGTGTGTGTACCATCAAATTGGATCTGACTGGTACAGGAGGAGGTGGCCCCTCCTTCTCTGGCAGAGCATCTAGTGTATTCGAGCCGCATATCTCTGGGATTGCAGTGCAGCTTCTTGCCACTAGGCCACCAGAGCTCCCCTAAATATTTCAAATGACATTTGTTTACAAAAACAAAACATTCCCAAATGAGACGTTAATGTGAGTGGTGGAGTGCTTGTGTTCCATAGTCTTTGATGGACATTGTGCATCCAAGCTATTAGAAGGCAGGGACTTGGTCTCCTGAAGAAAGAGAAATGACTAGAGAAAGTGTGAGAGGATATCCTGACTTATGTCTGGTTACCTGGATGTATTTACTGTTTATAAATCCTTGGTTTTTTGCCCTTGTAGTATAAGTGTATAAAAAAATCTATTAAAGATATCTAGAGCATCTCATAAATTTCTCTCTACTTTTATTGTTTAGGAAGTGATGAAGGACAGAAAGCCAGGAAAAACAAACAGGAAGCCTTCCCAACACTAGAGACTGTGTTCACAAAACTTCAACTCCTTTCGTACTTTGATCAGCATCAAGTGACATCTCAGGTAGCTACTTAAAGCTGATTTATTATGTATTTTAGATGGTCAGACATCCTTAAATATCTTTTATGCATCATATATTTTCTTGCTTGGTTGGTTTTTAAAATACATAATCTCTAATGCAATGCTGACATTATTACATTTTTATTCTATCTGTTTTCCTGAGCAAAGAGTTTTAGTTTTAAAACCATTGATATTTCAGTAGATGCTTTTGAAAATTAATTAGAACTTTCAATTATTCTGTTGTCCAGGTTGTAGTAATAACCTGACATATTTTTAAAAATTATAATTGTAGTTACAAAGTTGTTTTCATCTGCTACATGGCTTTGCTTTTTGTAGAACTTTCTTCTAATCAAAACCAGATGTAAATTTAAATGCTTACTTATAAAATGAAAATAATCTACCAGAGTAAATGATCATTTGGCATATTAATTCTCCTAATTACTTCCCTTTGTGCACAGATCTCTAACAATGTGCTGGAACAAATCACAAGTTTTGCATCGGGAACATCCTATCATCTTCCTTTGGCTCACCATATTCAGCTTATCTTTGATCTCATGGAGCCAGCTTTGAACATCAATGGACTGATTGACTTTGCAATACAGGTGCCAAAGGGATAGGCCTCCTCTTGTTTGATGAAAGCAAACCTATGGGGCACTGTTCAATTTCAGATGCTACAGTAGTCAAAGCTTATTTGTTAAATCTATCTTAATGACCTACTCATAACCACTGGGGTTTTGTTGACTCGAGTAGGCCTGTAGGACAGAGTAAAGCTTCTGCATAGAGTTTCTGAGGCTCTAGACCTTTATTGAAACAGACTGCCTCATCTTTCACAGAGCCCAGTGAGCCCAAACCATTGACTTTTTAGCAACTCAGTGCTTTTACTTTTACATAGTGCCTTATAAAGAATTGAGGCATGTAAACATACTCATAACAATGGGAGCAGCTACTTTCAGACTTACCTACTTAATCTGGGTCTGTAGTCAGTATGGTAGTGTGTTTGTTTTTTCCCTGTCAGTAGTTTCCTTCCTTAGATTTTTTGGTTACATCTCTATTCATATTTTTTCAGTTTTTAGAATTGGTGCTAAAACATATACTATGTACATAAACATGTTGTTGTTGTTATTGTTATGTGCTCTCAAGTCACTTGCGACTCATAGTGACCCTATGTACAACAGCCCTAAACCCTGCTCTGTCCTGTGCCAATCGCACTGCCTCCAACACACCCATCCTGATTACCCTAGTCACTGAATCAATCCACCTCATAGAGGGTCTTCCACTCTTGCACCATCCCTCCACCCTCCCAAGCATGATGTCCCTCTCCAAGGACCTGTATTTTATATTTATACACACACACTAGCTCTGAACCGTGCTCTATCTTGAGCCAGCCTTACTGTCTCTGACACCCCCATTACCCGAGTCACTTAATCTCATTGAGGGTTTTCCTGTCTTGTGTTGTCCATCCATGTTCCCAAGCATGATGTCCCTCTCCAAGGACTGGGCCCTCCTTACAACAAACATGCCCATAGTATGTCAGACAGCTTCAGAATCCTTTCCTGAAAGAAGCATTCTGGTTTCACCCTCTCTAGGATGAACCTGTTTGTTCTCCTAGCAGTCCATGGTATATGTAATGCTCTTCTCCAGTACCACAGCCCAAAGGCATCAATTCTCCTTCTATCATCCCTAGTTATTGTCCAGATTTCTTCTGCATAGCAAGTAATTATGAAAATCATGGCCTGGACCAGGCATACCTTAGTCTCCAGACTGACATTGTTGCTCTTCAGTACTCTGGAGAGGTCCCTGACACTGTGTGTGTGTGTGTGTGTGTGTGTGTGTGTACCTTTTAAAATGTGAGAATCCATGTGTTTTGTTACTCTGTGTATAGAAAATGGAATTTTCCTGTAACGTATGTTAGATTAAAAACAAAAGAAAAACCTTTATTTACTATTTTTATCATGTCCATACTTGGGTTCATCTATGGTCTGTTATTAGTGGATGAATATCCACTTTCAATTCTTTAGTCTTCTATAAGAATTAGGTGCTATTAATATATAAATGATAATAAATACTTTCTAGTTTATTAAAAAGAATGGAGAAGGTTGAGGTAATTTTTTTAAAAATACCCAGCACAGAAATTTGGGCAACAATAATGCTTCAGTCACTCTTCAGTGTTAGTTACTTTCTGATAACATATTGATACCTAGACAGAAAAAAAGAGGAAAGGGGGTGCTCCTTCAAAAGCCCAAACTAGTGGAAGGGTTAAAATAAAAATGGGTGGTTTAATTCTAAGACTGCAGTTAAATGGACTAGAGGCAAAATAAGAGGGGATCCAATAGCTTTATAATGACTCTGGTAAGTAAGTACATGCTTTTCTTATTTATTTTGGAACTACATTTTTATTCAGTCTTGTTTGCTGTTCTAGCTACTAAATGAGTTGAGTGTTGTGGAAGCTGAGCTACTTCTGAAGTCTTCCAGCCTGGCAGGAAGCTACACGACAGGCCTGTGTGTCTGCATTGTGGCTGTGCTGAGGCGGTACCACAGCTGTCTGATCTTGAATCCTGATCAGACAGCACAGGTGTTTGAAGGGTGGGTATATAATATGTCCTTCCTGTTTCCAGACCCTATAATGTTTGATTAAATAATATGGTAATTCTAAGAATTACTGTTGTTTTGTTTTAGTACAAGGATAAAGAGTACTTTGGCCAGAAAATATTTGCCAGAGAAAGAAATAAAAGCATTTAAGTTTTTAATGAAGCATTTTTAATAAAGTTTAATTCTTGAGTCCCTTCTTTTCCACCTTCCTCTTCTTCTGTCTTCCTTTCCCACACCCCCACCCATAGCCCTGGCTTTTAAGGGAACCAGTCTAATCAGTTACAGCACTATACCATGTAGTCTAGTTATCCTCATGCATCAGAAATACTCAGCAGCTCCTTTGATCATGTAATTTGAGTTGTCAATAATTACATTTGGGATTCTAACAACAGGTCAGCTGTACATAGATTGCCATTTTACAGATTTGAGTCTAACATTTAATTTCTTAGATTTAACAAAGTGAACTTTTTTCAAGTGTTAATCTGGAGCAAGTGAAAAAGAGACTTTTCCCCCTTTTATTATCCTCCAACCCGTGGGCTCTTTCTTTTTTTTAAAGTCATGTAATTCTTTGGTCCCCCAGTACCTTTCCTTTTTAAATCTTATCAGTTATATAAACTTCTTTCTCTATTGTAGCTGTCATTTATTTAGCAACAACTTTTCTAGGTAACATACATGCTACTACAGTAATTGTACCAATATGTTATGAAGTCAAATCTGAAACATTTCTAAACTTCAATATGATTAAACAGGTATCCTAGAATTAAGGAAATATATATACCTTAAGTCTATCTCACTCAAAAACCATCTCAAGAACAGATTTGAGGCATTGAGCACCGATGAACGAAGCCCAAAAGAGCCGTGAGAGGATATCAAGAATATCAAGAATATTATCCATGAAGAATGCAGAAGATCATTACAAAGGCAGAAGAAGAAGAAAAGACAAAGGTGGATGTCACATGAGACTCTGAATATTGTATTAGAGCACCAAGAAGCCAAAACTAAAAGAAAAAATCAAGAAATTAAACAGCTGAACAGAAAATTTCAAAAGGCAGCTTGAGATGGCAAAGCATGGTGTTATAGTGAAATGTGCAAAGAGCTGGAGTCACAAAATCAAAAGGGATAAACTTGCTCAGCATTTCTTAAGCTGAAGGAATTAAAAAACAAATTCAAGCCACAAGTGGCAGTACTTAAGAATGCTTTGGGCAGAATGGTAAATGATCCAAGAAGGATTAAAAGAAGATGGAAGGAGTACACAGAGTCACTGTACCAGAAGGAATTGGCTGACACAGAGAATTTCATGAAACAGCATGAGAAAGAGGCTATGGTGATGAAAGCGGAAGTTCAAGCTGCTCTGAAGAAACTGGCAAAAAACAAGGCTCCAGAAGTTGATGGTATACTGATTGACATATTTCAACAGACACTGCTGTGGATGTGCTCACTAAGTTATGCCAAGAAATCTGGAGCCAACTGACTGGAAGAGATTGATACTTGGTCCCATTCCAAAGAAAAGTGACCCAACGGAGTGCTGAAATGATCAAGCAGTATCATTAATATCAAAGCAGGCAAGATTCTGCTGAAAATTATCCAAATACAACTGGAGCAACATGTCAGCAGAGAACTGCCAGATGTGTAGGCTGGGTTTAGAAGACACCATGGTAAAGGGATATTATAGCTAATGTTAGATGCATCATGGCAGAAAGCAGAAAGTAGCAGAGGGATGTCTACCTGTGTTTCATTGATTATGCGAAGGCTTTTGACTGTTGTGGATCACAACAAACTGGTTGAGTCTGAGAAGAATGGGAATCCTAGAACATTTGATTGTGCTTATGCAGAATCTATACTTGAACCAAGAGGCAGTCTTTTGAACAGAGCAAGGAGACACTGCATGGTTAAAAATTGGGAAAGGTGTCCACAATTGGGATGTATTCTGTCTCCATAACTTTTTAGTCTGTATGCAGAACAGATCATCTGGGATGCTGGGCTCTCTGAGGAGGCATGTGGCATCAGGATTGGAGGAAGATTCATCAACAACCTGCGTTATGCAGATGACACAACCCTGCTTGCTGAAACTGAGGAAAACCTGAAGCGCTTGCAGCAGAAGGTCTAGAACTACAGCTTTCAATATGGATTAAAGCTCAACATCAAGAAAACAAAGATTCTCACCACTGGGCCAATTGGCATCATCATTATGGGGTGAAGGGATTGAGATTGTTAACAGTTTTAGCTTGCTTGGTTCCACAGTCAACACTCTTGGCACCAGCAGCCAGGAAATCAAGAGACAAATTGCATTGGGAAAGTCTGCTGTTAGAGACCTCTCCAAAGGAATGAAGAACAGCAGTGTCAGTCTGGAGACTAAGGTATGCCTGATACATGCCATGGTCTTTGCAATCACTTGCAAATCAGAGAGCTGGACAATGTCTAGGGATGATAGAAGGAGAATTGATGCCTTTGTACTGGGGTTTTGGAGAAGATGATTGACTATACTGAATGGACAGGTTCATCCTGGAGAGGGTTAAACCAGACTTCTCCTTGGAGGCAAGGATTCTGAAGCTTCGTCTGACGTACTTTGGACATGTTGCAAGATGGGACCAGGCCTTGGGGAGCAATGCCATTCTTGGGAGGGTAGAGGGACAGCACAGGAGAGGAAGACCCTCGATGAGGTGGATTGATTCAGTGACTGGGGTACTCAGGATGGGTGTGTCAGAGACAGTGAGATTGGCACAGGATCGAGCAGGGTTTAGGGCTGTTGTACATAGGGTTGCCATGAGTCACAGGTTACTTGATGGCACATAACAACAGCAACCATATTCAATATTAGGGGGAAAAATTACATTTTAGTCAGTTATTTGCTATTTTTTGTGATGATTAGTTTCAGTCATGTAAAACCTTTTTTTCTCTTACCCCAGGAAAACATAAACAGATAAATGTTCAGATGATAAAACATATATTGGAAAATTAATATTTGATTTCTTCAACTCTTCTTCTTAGGTTGTGTGGTGTGGTCAAGCACGTTGTCAACCCCTCAGAATGTTCTTCCCCTGAAAGATGCATCTTAGCCTACCTCTATGATCTCTATGTGTCTTGTAGCCACCTCAGAAGTAAATTTGGAGACCTCTTCAGGTTGGTAAAAAAGCAAAACTAAATCAGCCAGTGTCCCATAATAGAACTCTGTGTTTCACAGTGACTCCACCAATGTTATCTTCATTTTTAATGTGAAAATGTGTTATAATGTTTATTTTTGAGGCAGTAATTTGCATATGTTTAAGATTTGTTTAAGCCATAAGAACTAAAATACACAGAAGTAACAAGGGGAAGGGGCAACTGTATGTTCAGCACAAGTCTAAGAAAAAGACATTATGCTTCGAAAAGCTGAGTGTCAGAGAGGAGAAGACCTTCAGTGACACAGTGGCTGCAGAAGAAGCCAAAGCATAGCAATGGTTATGAGAATGGTGCAGGATTGGACAATACTTCATTCTGTTGTGCAGAGAAATGCTGTGAGAAGTAGCCAACTCAACAGCACCTAACAACTGAGCAGTGAGTGAGTGGTGAGTTAATAAATTATGATGTCTCTTTGAATGCAAGTGAAAGTCCAAGTTATATGTTGCTTCATACACTAGAATTTTCTGATTCATAGAGTTTCCGAAGTAAAAGGTGTAAGGGTTGTTTGATTAATTTCCTGGCTATGATACAGAGTGAGAAGGAATTGTGAGAGTTGTTTGGATGGCAGCTAGCTGTTACTGAAACACAGAAGCTTACTGCAAAATAGTGTGGTAATTTAGACTGCAAATAAAGGATGGAGGCTTCTCATGAGTCATATCATTAATAAAAAGTCACTCTGGGTGAGGGGCAAGAGTGAGCTCAATCAAGAGAAGGCTCTCTACCAAGAGAAACACAAGGACTGAATTTAAGCAAGGACAAGCAGAATTATTTATATTTGCTGAGACCAGTGAAGGTAGACTGGTTGGAGTCTAGTTAGATAGTGACTAGCAAGAAGTTAGACTTTCTAATTTTTTAAAGTCAATTTCATAAACAAATGTACTGAGAGATATAGAAAACCAAGGTTATGCAAAGAAAGGACTCAACATAAACAGCTTTTCCATTTTAAGTGAGAAAGTAAAAGAAATAGTGAATAAGTAAAAGTGAATGAAATGTTGGCTGAAAATGTGGCAAAAGTAGAACTGAAAAAACAAGAGTTTTTTTAAAAACTCTGTAGACCACGTAATGTCTATCATTTTTTAAATATCTTGACTCGTATTAGGTACTTTTATCTGTCAGTAACTTCTGACTACCTTTCTGCAGAGAAAAGCAGGGAATTCAGCAGATTGTGAGCTGTCCTGTTCAGTGGTTGACTGTGTAAGCCTCTGTGCCAGGCAAGGTGTACCACCTTGGGAGATTGTGTTAAAAAAGTGCAAGGTTCAGTATAGCTTCAGTTCAGAGATTTGGGAATTGGTCATAGTACTAGGAATATTATAGCTCCTGTCAGATGGATCTTGGTTGAAAGCAGAGAGCACCAGAGGAATATCTATCTGTGTTTCAATGACTATCAAGGCCATTTGACTTGACTGTGTGGATCACAACAAACTGGCTTACTCTGAGAAGAATGAGAATGGAGAAATCTATACTTGGGCCAGGAGGCAGTCATCAGAACAAAGAAGGGAAACACTGTGTGGTTGAGATTCCGGAAGGGTGTATACCAGGAATGCGTCCTATCTCCATACCTTTTTAATTTATATGCAGAACACATCATCCCATAGGCTTGGCTCTGTGAGGAGGAGTGCAGCATTATGATTGGAGGAAGACTCATCAGCAACTTGCGCTATGCAGATGACACACTTTTCTTGCTGAAACTGAGGAAGGCCTGAAGTGCTTGCTGCAAAAGGTCAAGGATTGCAGCCTTCAATATGGATTGGAGGTCAATATAAAAAAATAAAGATTCTTATCATTTGGCCAATTGGCAGTATCATGATAGTCAATGAAGAGATTGAGATTGTTTATGGTTTATAGCTTCAAATGGCTTGGCTCCACAATGAACAAACATTCTTGCTATCAGCTTCCAGGAAATTAAAAAACAGATCTCATTGGGAAAGTCTGCTGTCAGTGATATCACCAAAGTACTGAAGAGCAATGATGTCAGTCTGAAGACTACGGTACACCTGATCCAGGCCATGGTCTTTGCAGTTACTTGCTATACATCAGAAAGCTGGACAGTGACAAAGGGTGATAGGAGGAAAATTGATGCCTTTGAGCTGTGGTACTGGAAAAGACTACCAAGGAGAACAAAAAGGTTTTTCCTGGTGATGGTGAAACCAGCCTGCTTCTTGGAATCAAGGATTCTGAAGCTCTGTCTGACATACCTTGGACATGTTGCAAGCAGGGACCAGTCCTTTGAGAGGTACATCATGCTTGAACAAAAGCAAAGAGGCAGCACAAAAGAGGAAGACCCTGGATGAGATGGATTGACTCAATGACTGCGGTAATCAGAGACAATAAGATTGGCTTAGGATAGAGCAGGGCTTGGAGCTGCTGTACTTATTAAAATCACTATGAGTCACAACTGACTCAACAGCACATAACAGCAGGGTTTATCCCTCTAGCTGATTATGATGGAGAACATCTGAAGTCACGTTTGGTCCTCATTGAATTTCTCAATCTGTTAAAGCATCAAGCAGTGGTGAAGAGAGTTTTTTAATGGAATCATTTCTACCTCCTCTTTTTTTATTGTGATCCATTGGGAGAGGAGCTGCACTGCCATCGAAAGGAAGGTGGTTCCAAACCATCAGCTGCTCTGAGAGAAGGATGAGCAGTCTCCTCCTGTGAGATTAAAACCTGCTGAAGACTTGGTGGAAGGTCATTTCTGAGTCAGGGAGTGGATGGTGCATACAACATTCTTATGGGAAAGGAACTCCGGTGATCTAGTAGGGTAACTCAAAGGTGGTGTCTTCCTTGTGGTTTGAATCCACTGACTTCTCTTTGGGAGAAAGATGGGCTGTCTTGCCATGTACATTATATCCTCTGAAAACCCACTAGAGGGTCATCTTTGCATACATTCTAACTTGACAGCAATGAGAAGAATACTTCTTACGAGATAAAAAAATCTCTTCTATCACCTTACAGGTAAATTTGCTACGAGGAACTCAATCTAAAATTTGCCCCTGTGCTGCCAGAAGGAACTCTTGAATACGGAAGACAAATAGGACTTGTGCATTTGTTTTCCATAGCACTTAGGCAAAAATAACTTTTTTGTGGAATCTGAGCTTTGAAATTAGGAGCCATCCTTTGGCTTCCTCAACAGAGCAGGAAGTTGTTGTGAGTGGCTTCTGAGTCAGTTCCTCCTCACAGTGACACCACGTGTACAGAATACTGCTGCTCCATGTGTCTGCGGTCTCTTAGGAGCTGAACTCCATGCCTTGAAAAATACCCTGGTCAGGCACAAACCTTCAGCCTTTCAGCCAACAGACAAACTTAACCTTTTGTGCCACTCAAGATATAACAGGATTGGAGTGGCTGTGTTTAACTTCCCACTTACTTTTTTTGAGATGAGACTCACTGAAATTTGATCTGTTTTCATATATTAAACCCAGGCTCTTAAAATCACCCTTAAACAGTTGAGAATTCTGTGTGTCATCTTGCTCACCCTGTCCTTGACACATAGCCTTCACTTGAGACACTGTCCCTAGAAAAATGATTTTGCAGAATGTATAATTGAGACTGACACACATTATTCCTGGTGTATCACTGAATCAGTTTTCATTTTTAAGCAATAACAATTCCCATTGTAAAGCCATTGTTAGAAGTCTAAGTCAAGGGTCATAAACAAAGGTCCTATTTTGTTCTTCTACCTGGACAGCAACTATTAATTGAGCAACTGCTATGCTTTAGGTACTGTGCCTCGCTGGTTATTAGTTACCTTTAAGAACTCATGATATAAATCTTTGGTAGTAGCACATTACAGTTGCTTTTGTGTAATGTTTTTAAATGAAATACGTTTCCAGTTATTCCTTTTGTTTTTTTGTTTGTTTTCCTAAACTCTTATCCTCAGTAGTGCCTGTTCAAAAGTAAAGCAGACCATATATAATAATGTGATGCCTGCAAATTCTAATTTGCGATGGGATCCTGACTTTATGATGGACTTTATTGAGAATCCATCAGCCCGTAGCATCAACTATTCAATGCTTGGCAAGATACTTAGTGACAATGCGGCCAATCGCTATAGCTTTGTCTGCAACACCCTCATGAATGTATGTATGGGCCATCAGGACGCTGGAAGGTAAGCTGGGTTATCTCTGAATGATTAATCAAAGAGCTGTTGCCTTGATGCCTCCTTTGAAATGAAGGTTGTTAATAACTATCTGGGCTGACAATTGGTTGTCGTTTGCTTCTTTTCGTCTTTCTTTATTCTTGAATTTGCGTCTGCTCAACTCTATGATTGCCTTATCTGTGAGACAACACGTAGTCCTATAGCTTTGTCATGAGATGTTTTGGATATAGGGTGTTGTTGTTGTTGTTGATTGCCATCCAGTTGAGGTCAACTCAGTAACTCTGTGAACAAAAGACCTAATTCCTTTCCATAACTATCATAATTTCTCCAAGTTCATAGAGTTTCCAGAGGCAGAAGTGGATGCCATTCCTGCTTCTCAACCTGTTTTACTATTGAGAGCTCCTCCAAACACTGTCCACATTGGGAAACCATTCTCGTATTTGATACTCCAATGGTTCAAGGTTCAGCATCACAGTAAACTCAGGTTATTTCATACTGCACTATGATAAAGAGTGATGTTCAAAGTAGAAGAGTGTTCATCCAGATATAACAGCACTAGTTTCATTTAGCAGTGGTTAGGTGTCATCAAGTCGAACATAACTGAGAGGAAGTTTTGCACAAAAGGCCTGAACTCTGTTCTATAACATCAATTCCATACAGAACTCTATTCTATAACTAACATCATTTCTGTACCTTTAGAGTTTAGAGAGTTTGTAGAGTTTCTGGAGGCATTTAGTTCAGGAAGTGGATGCCACTCCTGCTTCCCAGCATAAATCAATCTGGAATCTCATCCAAACATAGTACATAATGGGTAACCATGATGGTATTTGACAAGACCATGAAACAGTGTGCAGCATCACAGCAACACCAAGTTGTTCAGTTAAGCAAATAGAAAAAAGATTGCTGTATCATTTAAGGAATATTCATTTGAGAATTAATAAATTTGCACTTCCAGGTTTTAAAGCCACACCTTTGAGCAGACTTCCACCCTAGACAAAGGCTCAAGGACACCCACTCTTGGGGGAAAAGAGCAGTAACACGTATTAAACACAACCCCAAAAACTTCCCTCACATGCCCATCAGGACTGCCATCAAGATACAAGCTAGCAGCAAACTCCCAGAGTGGAGGCTCCAGGCCCTGGCCTGCAGTCCCATACCCTCCCCCTGCAGGGTTTTAAAACCACACCTTTGAGCAAAGGCTAAGCAGAGGCTCAAGGACATAGAGTAGTACATAAACTATTTACAAAAGCATATATAACAAAGAAAAGATAAATTCATTTATTATTAAATAGATCCATTTTCCTTGCTTTTTAAAAATTATTACTAATGTTAATGAAAATTTACAGAGACTTTGGATTTCCATTCATTCATTGTACTTTTCTCCCTGTCCACCCCTCCCTGCCGCAGTTCACTCTTCTCTTTGAAAAGTGAAAGAAAAATTATTTCATTATTGTACATTCCCTCCCCCCCCCAAGTCCACTCCACTATGCAGCCTTCGTTCTGGCCACCCCTCTCCCCCCCCACCCAGTTCGCTCTTCTCTTTGAAAATAAAAATTCTTTCATTGGTATGCATTCCCTACCCCCAAGTCCACTCCACTATGCAGCCTTCATTCTGGACTCCTGTCCTGACAATAATACCTAATCCTATATCCCTTTTAAATAGTTCTCTCTCATCTGTTTCAATGCAGTATACATAATTTATCCCCTCTTTCTCAGTCTCCCCCCCAACCCTGATGTCAGTCCTGTTTTACAACATTGGCACTATACAGTATTTGTCCTTTTGTGACTGAGATATTTCATTCAGCATAATGTCCTCCAGGGTCACCCATTTTGTATAATAGTTCACAAGTTCCTTGTTTTTCAATACAGCATTGTGTTCCATTATGTGAATATTCCACAGCTTCTCTATCCATTCATTTTTTGATGGGCACTTAGGTTGTTTCCAACTCTTTGCTGTTGTTAATGAAGCCATGATAAACATGGGTGTGCAAAATATATCCATTTTTAATACGACTGTACTTGGAAGGATCTATGTTTCATAGACTCTTTAATTTTTGGGTTTTACCAATTTTTAAATTGTTAGCCAAATGTGACTCTGTAGTTTTGAGGATACGTTCAGGGATCTAAAAATAAACTAATTTATCTTTGTACTAGTTATTGTTTGTAGCTAAATAGTGTTCAGTGTTACAAGAAACTTGAAGTGTTTTACTTCACTCTTGTAATCCACTTTCTCTTAGGTTATTTGAAAAGTCAGGTTGTTTGTTTTTTTCTTGAGTTTAAGAAAATAACTTTTTCAATGATAATAAAATGGGTACTTAATTATAAATTATATTGCATGTTACTATTTCTGTTTAGTATCAGGTTATTTCTCTGCTATTTTCTTTTTCTCTTCTAGAATTAATGACATAGCCAATTTCTCCTCTGAACTGACAGCTTGCTGCACTGTTCTTAGCTCAGAATGGCTGGGGGTTTTGAAGGCTCTTTGCTGTTCTTCAAATCACGTGTGGGGTTTTAATGATGTTCTCTGCACTGTAGATGTAAGTGTTTTTGGCTTTACTTTAAAAAACTCAGCTAACATAGAAATACTTAGTTCATGTATAATTTTAAAATTCTTCTTTATTTCTTTTCAATTGCCTCAGCCCTTAACTGATATCTTTTAAAATATTTTTTTCCTTTCTCTGTTTTTCTATCCAAACCAAAGCCATTAAACTACAATGTAGATGCCAAGGATTAAAGAAGAAAATCCCCAAAACCCAATTAAAAAAATTAATAACTTAAACTGTCACAGAAATAAGTAGTTTTTCCATGTTTACTGATATTTCAATTTTAGCTTACATTTCATATATATATATATATATATATATAAAAGAAATACGTGTGTGTGTATTATACACATGCACACAGAAGTAGAGAGATGTTCACTTCATAGCTCTTTGATCTGGATTTTTATTGTGTCTCATGACATAGGATATAATTTAGTAACTTCTCTGCTAACTCTGGCTTTGTAGTACAAAATGTCAGTCTGGTAACAAAAAGGTCAGTGGTTTGAATCCACCAGCTTCTCTACAGGAGAAAAATGGACCATCCTCTCCCATGAGGAATTATGAACTCAAAACCTGACTGGACAGTCACTCTGTGACCCTATATACAACAGCTCTGAACCCTGCCCTACCCTGAGCCAATCTCACTATCTCTGACACATTTATCCAGTTATCCCAGTTACTGTATCAGTCCATCTCATCTGGAGTCTTCTTTCCTGCACTATCCCTCCTCTATTCCATGTATGATATCCTTCTCCAAGGACTGGTCCTTCCTGGCCATGTGCCCAAATTATGTGAAATGGATCTTCAAACTCCTAGCCTCCAAGGAGAAACTTGATTTCATTCTTTCCTGGACAGATCTGTTTGTTTTCTTGGCAGTCCTTGGTATGTTCAAGACCCTTCTTGAGCAGAGCAACTCAAAGGCATCAATTCTTCTGTCATTCTTAGTCATTACCCAGCTCACTGATGCATAGCAAGTAATTGTAAAAACCATGGCCTGGATCAGGTGCACCTTAGTTCACTAGACTAACCTCATTACTCTTTAGAAGTCTGGAGAGGTCTCTTAACAGCAGACTGCCTGACTGCTTATGCCAAGTGTGTGGAATGGGGAGCTGAGCAAGCTGTAAAATAAAACAAGCTCAATCTCTTCCCCATCTATCATGGTGCTGCTAATTGGCCCAGTGGTGAAAATCTTCATCTTCTTGATGTTGAGCTTCAATCCCTATTGAAGACTAACGTCCTTTTGCAACAGACACTTCAGGTCCTCAGTTTTGGCAGGCAAGGTTATGTCATCTGCATAACACAGGTTGTTGATAAGTCTTCCTCCGCTTCAGTTGCAACATTCCTCCTCAGAAAACTCAACCTCCCAAAGGATCTATTCGGTATAGATTGAAAAGGTATGGAAACAGGACATTATTCCTGGTATACTTTTTTTCCCCGATTTTGAACTGTATTTGAACATGCCTTGTTTCTCTGCTCTATTCTGAGGACTGCTTCCTGGTCAAGTATAGGTTTCATATGAGAACAAACAAGTGTTCTGGGATTCCCATTCTTCTCAATGTTAGCCATAGTTTGTTGTGATCCACACAGTTAAATGCCTTTGCATAGTCAATGAAACACAAATAGGCATTTCTCTGGTACTCTGTGCTTTCGGCCAAGATCTATCTGATGTTGACAATTCTCTGTTAATGTACTGTTCCATTCATATTTTTATAATCTTTAACAGTATTTTACTTGAGTGTGCTATATTATTCAGTAATTTCCACACTCTGGCAGGTCATCTTTTTTCCTGGAATGAGAATAAATATAGATCTCTTCTAGTCGGTTGATACAACCTGGTGATCATGTCCAGGGCAGCATCTGTTTGTTGAAACATGTCAGTTGGCATTCCATCAATACCTGGGACCTTGTTTTCTGCCAGTTCCTTCAGAGCAGCTTGAACTTCCTCCTTCATCACCATTACCGCTTGATCATTTGAATTTGTTCTTCAGTTTCTTTAGCTTAAGAAATGTTGAATGAGTTTGGCCTTTTTGATTTTCTAACACCAACTCTTTACATATTTCATTATAATACTTTACTTTGCCTTCCCGTCCTACCCTTTGCAGTCTTCTGTTCAGCTACTTAACATCTTGATTTCTTCTCTTTGCTTTGGCTTGTTGATGCTCTAGTGCAATATTCAGAGTCTCTTATGACATCTATCTTGGCTTTTCCTTCCTCCACTGTCTTTGTAATGAAATTTTGCATTTTTCCTGAATGATTTTTTTTTTTATTCTCTCACAGCTTATCTGGTCTTCATTCATTAGTATTCAAGGCTTCAGATCTGTATCTGAGATGGTATTCATATGGTACAACTCAAAATGGACACTGCTGTTAAGGTTACTGAGCAATATCTGGTGTCCATAAGAAGTTGTGCCAATGGTGGTTCCTCTCTAAAAGTCAACCTGGGAGAAAAATGTCCTTCTGTGTCATTTATAGCCTTTGACAGCCCACTGGAAGGTCACCTATGAGTTGGTTCTGACTCAATTTCATTGAGTTTGGATTTTAATTATAACTTCTATTTTTATTTTCTTCCAAAATTTTATGTGATTTGTAGACATTTTGCTGTGACCAAATTGATTTTCTTCCTTTTTCTCTTATCTTTTTACTTTATAAAAATTATCAGTTGTAATATAACCTTTCAACATTCATTAAAACAGTTTTGTTCATATTGATCATTGTTAAGTTACCATTGATAGGGATCCAAGAATATTGATTAGATTTATTTTTCAACTAGAGAAATGCCTTTCCTTTCCCTTCTTATTAATGGCATACTATATGGCTTTCTGGTAAATCATATTAATTTTGCTTCATTTTTTAGGAATTTCTCGCCTCAATGCCTGGGACCCTCACTTAAATGTACACAGAACTAAACTCATTATCTTCTTACAAATTGGAATATACATGAGACTCATTCTTTACCTCATAAAGTATAAATAGGCCATACCGTTGTTATTTGCCAGTTATTTCCTGACTCAGTGATCCATTGTCACTGCCCCATAAGGTTTCTAACCTTATGGAGTCTTTTTAACCTTTAGGAGTCTGTGTAACAGGATTTCCTTTCAAAGTTCCTCTGAGTGGGTTCAGATAACCAATCTTTTGACTATTACACTTTACTGGGGCGCCCCAAGAGTTCTGTCAGAAATAGAACCAATTCATCCCTGACTCTCCCACATGTGTTCCAGGAGCTCCAAATCGCATAGGAGGAGATTGTCCTCCTCTTTTTTACCAGGGAGCAATTGGGAAATTACCACCATTGCTTTGGATTGGCAGTGTAATTCACTCCCTGCTGATGAAGACACCAGAGCTCCTAGAAATAGACATAGACCTAGAGGATAATCATCGTAGGAAGTTCATCATCTACTTTTGATTCATTTGGGAATTTGCGATCTTATGGGTGTTTGGCTACTTTCTCTTAGATATTAATCTGAGATATGACACAAGAGGGTGTTAGGTATTAAAACGTGTCACTGTTTTTCTTGAAGGTGAGTGACCTTTCATTCCATGATTCATTAGCTACTTTCATTGCTATTCTGATAGCACGACAGTGTTTCTCCCTGGAGGACGTCGTGCAGCACGTCGCACTTCCCTCTCTCCTAGCAGCAGGTAAGACAGCAAAGAGGACACCACTGTTACTTGATCATCCTTTGTTGGGGTGATGCCCACCTCTAAAACCTGAACATAATATTGAAGGGTATGTACTTTGGGTGGTTGTGTGGCATTAGGGTGGAGATGGTAGAATCGATGTAATAGTTATTTACTGAGTAATATAGATACCAGTGGAAAAAGATGGAGATATATATATTTTTTCTAGTATCTTACTCTAATTTATTTATTTCATTTAAAATTAAATTTATTTCCTTTATTTATGTTAACCTAGCAGAATAAGCCCAGTTATCTGTCCCCAAGTCTTGAAGACTTGTACTGGTGTATGTTAGAAAACTTTGTTTTGAAATCCTTGTGTCCTAGCTTGTGGAGACGCAGATGCAGAACCTGGGGCGAGAATGACGTGCCGCCTCCTGCTTCATCTCTTCCGAGCGCCCCAGGCCTGCTTCTTACCTCAGGCCACAGGTGAGCTGACTTTCCCTGCACTTTGGAGTTGCAAGCTCCAAGATGACCAAATATGCTGGTCTGGTCTGTCCTTTTGGACTTGCTTCAGGGCTGAGTAAGGCATGAGATGACGCCATGCGGACAGCTGCCAGCACCTTTCACTGGTTATGTAATATCAGGATATGCTGAGAAATTCAAATCAAGACTTAATAAACAATAAAAATACCTCTTCTGTTAGGCAAAGCCATCCTGGTGGGGAGCCTAATCCTCCAACATGCTATGTTGGTTATGAACCATTCCTAGACAGCTTAAGGCAATGGTGATTCATTTATTCTTTTACTAATAGGAACAAGGTAAGAATTCTAGGCGTGTGATGAAGATCATTCTTAAAGATTATTTCTACATAGACATATATGTGTGTCTGAGAACAAGTACAAATATATGGAAGTCCTACTAATCTTTATGATATACCTCTCTAAAGAGTGAGGACTTAATTTTAATAATTAAAAATAAATAGGATAAGTAAGCAGAATTGGCAGTGTTCATTGGTGAATCCGTGAAGCATCAATTAGAGCCAACTAATGGCAATTAAACGCCCACAGTGTTCCACTGAAAGGCCCTGCAGACTGTAAATGGTTACACAAGATTGCTTGGATGATGATGAAGAAACCATTAAAGATTTGTTGTCATTCCCATAGGTAAACCTTTTCCTGGAATAAGATCATCTTGTGATCGCCACCTCTTAGCTGCCGCTCACAACAGCATCGAAGTGGGAGCTGTCTTTGCTGTCTTAAAAGCAATTATGATGCTTGGTAAGACTGCCCGGATCTGAGCACCAGAGACTGAGGCCAGACACTGACTTTTCTTTAGGATGGAATCCAGTTAACACGTTGCCACAAATAGCGGCAAATGTGTTTCTAAGCATTGTTGTCAATTGAAAAAGTGTGAGGCAACATGTTAACATTATGAAAAAAATTTTTGTTTGCTTTTTTTAGATAAATCAATTAGATTCTCCCAAGTTCAAGTTCAGTGTCTTGTTAGAGGCTATCTCTGGTGACTTAGGGGAAATAAATACTTTTTGTTCCATTTTATTACAGAATGTCTTATTCTTATGTAAAGTAGATATTCAGATCCCTTAAATTGTCTTTGTCTTCGTTATGCTGTTAGGATGCACCTTATGGAATGACGTGGTCAACAACCAGCCATTTGAGATTCATAGACTGGTTGGCACCAAAGATTTAAAAATCGTCCAGTGCTGGAACATCAGTAAATACTATTTTAGTCTTTAGTTTCTACTTTCACAAAGCAAATTTATGTCATTCGGCCTTAGTTTTTTTATGAAATATTGATAATTTCAGTGATACTGATAAATAAAATTAGATGACATTAATATCTTTGGATCATAGTGTCCAAGATGTCTTGTATATTCTTATTGGTATAAGTACTCAGGAGGAGGAGAATTACTACTTTTACTTTATTTGTGCAGTATCTCAGGACATTTTTATTCTGTACATCATTAAGGATTTGAATAATTAAAAAGTCTTGAGTACTGACTACCTATTTCCAAATTTGGGAACCCTAAAAGGTGCAAATATTTAAATGCTCAGCTATTAACAGACAGGTTAGGATTTAAATATTTGCAGAGTATCAAAAGGAACTGGCAGACACAGAAGAATTTAATGAAATCACATATGAGCAAGAGCCTATGGTGATGAAGGAAGAAGTTCAAGCTGCTGTAAAGGAAATAACAAAAAATAAGGACTCAGGAATAGATGGCATACCTGTTGACACATTTCCGCTAACAGATGCTGCCGTGGATGTGCTCACCAAGTTGTGCCATGAAATCTGGAGACCAACCACTTGACCAACTGACTGGAGGAGATATATTTGTTCCCATCCAAAAGAAAGGTAACCAAACAGAGTGTGGAAACTATAGAACAATATCATTGATTTCACATATAAGCAAGGTTCTACTGAAGATTATCCAAAAACGACTAGAACAGCACTTCAGCAGAGAACTGCCAGAAGTCCAGGCCGGGTTTAGAAGGGGTCATGGTACTAGGGATATTGTAGCTGATGTTAGATGGATCTTAGCTGAAAGCAGGAAATACCAGAAGAATGTCTATCTGTGTTTCATTGATTATGCAAAGGCATTTGACTGTGTGAATCATAACAAACTGTGGCTGACTCTGAGAAGACTGGGAATCCCAGAACACTTGATCGTTCTAATGTGAAACCTATACTTGGACCAAGAGGCAGTCATCAGAACAGAGCAAGGAAACACTGCATGGTTCAAAATTGGGAAAGGCGTACACCAAAGATGTGTCCTATCGCCATACCTTTTCAACCTTTATGCAGAACAGATTATCTGAGAGGCGGGACTCTGTGAGGAAAACTGTGGCATCAGGATTGGTGGAAGATCTGTTAACAATCTGCGTTATGCAGATGACACAACCCTGCTTGCTGAAAATGAGGAGGACCTGAAATGCTTGCTGCAGAGGGTCAAGGTCTGCAGCCTTCAGTATGGATTGAAGCTCAATGTCAAGAAGACAAAGATTCTCACCACTGGACAAACTGGCAACATCAGGATGGATGGTGAAGAGATTGAGATTGTTCACAGCTTTAGTCTGCTTGGCTCCATGGTCAACACTCTTGACACCAGTAGCCAGGAAATACAAAAACGTATTTTGACTGGAAAGTCTGCTGTTAGGGACCTCTTCAGAGTACTGAAGAGCAGTTGTGTCTCTCTGGAGACTAAGGTGCATCTGAAACAGGCTATAGTCTTTGCAATCACTTGTTATGCATCAGAGAGTTGGACAATGACTAAGGAGGATAGAAGGAGAATTAATGCCTTTGAACTGTGGTGCTGGAGAAGAGTATTGAATGTACCCTGGACTGCCAAGAAAACAAACAGATTTATCCTGGAGAGGGTTAAACCAGGCTGCTCCTTGGAGGAAAGGATTCTGAGGCTTTTTCTGACATACTTTGGACATGTTGTAAGGAGGGAGAGGCCCTTGGAGAGGGACATCATGCTTGGGAGGGTAGAGGAACGGCTCAGAATGGGAAGACCCTCTGTAAGATGGATTGATTCAGTGACTGGGGTAACCAGGATGGGTGTGTCAGAGGCAGTGAGATTGGCACACGATAGAGCAGGGTTTATGGCTGTTGTACATAGGGTCGCTATGAGTCGCAAGCGACTCGACAGCACATAACAACAACAACCTCAGAGAAATGGTCTAACAGTTCACTTTTCAAAGAACAAAATCATTGAAGACTATCTGAAATACTATTATACTCTGAAACACCGAAGTTCTCTTGGAATTGACTTCACAGCAACTAGTACTTTTTTTTTGGGGGGGGGTTTCAGAGGCCGTTTAATCAAATAAGAAAAGATTACCTTTCTCTAGCAGAGCAATTGGGGGATTCAGACCTTAATTCTTTACCAAGAAGCCACCAGTGATACCTCTGGTATCACTCACAAATTCAACCTGCAGAATAACAGAACATCCTTTAACATCAGGAAAGAGGTTTGTTCTAGTGATAAAATAATTACAATTTTACAGGTAAAATATCTCCACAGCCTTCATAACTGTGGTGAGATGTTTTCACTAGGCCATGCCCACTTTCTTTTCCGTTGGTGGGGAGATGAGGTGAGGAGATGAAGTAGGGTGATGGATGAGGTGAGGGAGATGAGGATTCAGGCTGAGCTCCTCCATTTTACAGATGATTGCTTTCCTGGCTGCAGTTAAGGCTTCTAGTGGGCGGGTGGCTGGATTAGGACATTGGAGAACCTCTCATCCCCCCAGAGAGACAAGTGCAAGCTTCTATGCTGCCCACATCTGGGACTCCCTCTGGGGCTTCAGGGGACTGTGGCAGAGGCGAAAAGCCTGGTGTGGTGGTGGAAGACCAGGTGAGCGTCCTAACCTGTGCTACTAGCCAGGCCTGGGGCCTGCAGTTAAGCTTGCTCCTCCTTCTCCCACCCCCAGCAAGCTGGAGTTGGAGAAGCGCACCAGGCCTCCCTGTAGGAGGAGTAGGGGGTGTGGCTGTAGGCATTGCTAGAGTAGTCACTTCCTGCCACCATGCCTGCGATGGCAGAAGAGGCATAGGTGCCCTGTCTGTTGGTAGGGATGTGGGGTGGGTATCCAGGCAGTGTGGACCCCACCATCTCACGGCCTGAGAGGAGGGCCAGACCCAAGAGCTGCCCGTACATGGAGGCACATGGGGAAAAGCATTGAAGGGCGGAGCAACTAGTACTTTGAATCTGGAATATCCACTTTGCCCTTGACTAAACAAAGTGTTTTAGTTGTTTTGAAAGCTCTCACTCTGGTTAGAATGGGAATTCTGAGTGGATAGGATTTGTTACTGAGGAGTCCTAAAGAGGAGACACAGCATATAACTTAACATTTTATTTTATATACTTGAGAAAGAGTTCTGGGGACAGTGGAAAGGAGAGCAGGCTTTTTATAAATGATGAAAATTTATCCTTAAAGGTGTTGGTTCATGAACCCTATGATTAAGAAGACTGTTCTTTAAGTTTGTGTGACCATTGCAATGAATTCTTGACTCTAGCAGTGGAGTAAACCGTGCTGTTGGGAGAGACAGCTGGTGTCAGAATTGGTTAAAGGTAAAAAGAAGGGGGTGTATCTGATACCCCAGGAATCTGAGCTAATGCTCATAGTGTGTCTCCCCTTCGTGAAATTAGAGCTGGTCAAGTGACCCTGCCACCATACCATTATAACAAGTGGTTCAGGTAAGTGTTTCTAACTTAAATGTTTAGAGAAAGGAAAATTAAGGACATAAATAACATCCTACTTTGTAGGACTTCTTTTGTAGGTGTTGCTGTTTACACTCCCAGGGAAAGAAATCTTTCTTGTCAAGAAGTTAATAGGAAGGTGGGGTAAGGTAAATTTTTCCTTAACCTATAGATAAAAAATAAGCTAAAGTAAGAGAATAAATGAAAAAGGTACAAGTAGAAGGGTGAGCAACCCATTTTTGTCTTATCTGTAACTCAGATGTATTGCAGTGTTGGTCTGATCACTGTTCTGTGACTGTGTTTATAGTGGACTTTCCACTGTGACTGCATTTATAGTGGACTTTCCAGGGTTGGAGGAGTAAGTCCTCAGTTGGCTTCTTCCTGTGACCTAGGTTCATGCCCTTGATCAGTTTTCTCTATGGCTGAAGAACTGACCATGCTCTGATATTGGACACATATTTTAAATTCCTGAGAACTAACGTCGTTTACTTCTCAATAATTTGGTGATATTTTGATCTGCTCTGATCTTGCTTTTGGTGATTCCGTTATTAGGAGATGCCAAAATTGGTAGTAACACCGTCAGCTCTTTGAAGAATGATGATTTTACCATGAGGGGCTTACGGCGTGATGGGAATGCTGATGATATCTGGACTGCCACACAAAATTCCAAAACCTGTGGGAAAAGCATTTCCATAGAAACTGCAAATTTAAGGGAATATGCGAGATACGTCCTGAGGACTATCTGTCAACAGGTAGCCTTCAAATTCAATTTACCTTTCTCTTGGACCATGCAACTCTTGTTTGAGTGTACTCTCATTTTTGAAACTTACTGAAAATTTGCAGAAATAGTGAAGAGTTTGCTAACATGCTTCTTAAAAATAACATTATATGAATATTATTTGTGTGTCCCCTTATCTCTGTTATTTATATTTTATTACCTTTTTGTGTGTAGATGCATTTATCTTTTAACACAACCAAAATTGTTACCATAAATAAGAAAATTTACATGTTTCACTAGAATCGATTTCTTCAATATTGTCCTTAAACTATTTGTCCTTAAGGGACTAAGTTAGCTCACTTTGCTAGATTAGGTAGTGATTTATAAAATCATTGCTCTTGCGTGCTGCATAGTATTGCATCATGTGAATTTACCATAATTTCTCAGTCCATTCCATTATGGTTGGACATTTGGCCTGTTTCCATGTTCTTGTGATGGTGAATAACACTGTTAGGAACATTGGTGTACACGTCTCCATTAATAGCTGGGTCATAATAAATTTCTGTGGTTACCATTTTGAGGAAATGCCAAACTGCCTTCCAGAGTGATTGTACCATTTTACAATTCCACCAACAGTGTGCAAGAGTTCTTATTCTCTACATCCTCTCCAACATTTATTACTTGTTACCCTGTTAAACTTTGCCACAGTAGTGAGATGGTATCTCATTGTAATTTTGATTTGCATCTCTCTTATTGCCAGTAATTTTGAGCATTTTTTTCATGAGTTTGTATAAAATAAAAACTTTATAAAAAAGAATGATGAGGGCTCATTTGGGCAGCACAGTTACTAAAACAGGAACGATACAGAAAGGATTAGTTTGGCCCCTGCACAAGGATGTTATGCAGATTTGTGAAGTGTCCCATTTAAAAAAAAAAAAAAAGATGATGAGAAACCATTAAGATTATAAATTGGCAGAAACTCTCTGGAATATAATTAAATGTTTAATAGCCTTATTTTTTCATTATGACTTTTGACCTTAGCATTGCAGATTCATAGTTAACCTAAGGAAATAATTGTAGGTGGGAATAAATGAAAATACGCCAAAAAGCAAAAGAATATTTTCTAAATTATGTAACTTGTTACATTCTTTAATTTCATGGACAGTATTAAAATGTACTCTATAGAAATGATAAGCAGTCATGATCAGAATTTTTATTATTAAATATAAAAGCAAGTACCCAAACTTTGATTATAAAAGCAGTATAGCTAAAGTTAGGTAGATCTTGGCAGAAAGCAGAGAGTACCAGAGGAATGTCTATCTGTGCTTCATTGATTATGCAAAGGCTTTTGACTGTGTGGATCACAGCAAGCTATGGCTGACTCTGAGAAGAATGGGAATCCAAGAACATTTGATTGTGCTTATATGAAACCTATACTTGGACCAGGAGGCAGTCGTCAGAACAGAGAGAGGAGACATTACATGGTTCAAAATCAGGAAGGCGGTCCACCAGGGATGTATTCTGTTTCCATACCTTTTTCAATCTATATGTAGAACAGATCATCCGAGACGCTGAGCTGTACGAGGAGCAGTGTGGCATCAGGATTGGTGGAAGATTAATTAACAACTTGCATTACGCAGATGACACAACCCTACTTGCTGAAACTGAGGAGGACCTGAAGCGCTTGCTGCAGAAGGTCAAGGACTGCAGTCTTCAAAACAAATTGAAGCTCAACATCAAGAAAACAACAATTCTCATCACTGGACCAAATGGCAGCATCAGTATCGATGGTGAAGAGATTGAGATAGTCAGTAGGTACCAGCAGCCAGGAAATCACCAGATGAATTGCATTGGGAAAGTCAACTGTGAGGGACCTCTCAAGAGTACTGAAGAGCAACAACGTCAGGCTGGAGACTAAGGTGCACCTGATCCAGGCCATAGTCTTTGCAATTACATTCTATGCACCGGAGAGCTGGACAGTGACTAGGGATGATAGAAAGAGAATTGATGCCTTTGAGCTGTGGTGCTGGAGAAGAGTGCTGAATATGCAATGGACTGCTAGGAAAACAAACAGGTTTGTCCTGGAGAGGGTGAAGCCGGAATGCTCCTTGAAATCAAGGATTCTAACGCTTCATCTGACATACTTTGGTCATTGGAGAGGGACATCATGTTTAGGAGAGTGGAGGATAGTGCAGGAGAGGAAGACCCTTGATGAGATGGACAGATTCTGTGGTGGAAGTATGTCAGAGACGGTAAGGTTGGCACAGGATAGAGCAGGTTTAGGGCTCTTGTACATAGTGACTTGACGGCCCATAACAACCAGCACCTAGTGCTCGGTTCTGTTTTCTAGTTGAAAACATACCAAAATTTTCTGTACCTCCTCTAAATATCTTTCCTGTTTGACTTAGTCTATATTTTTTTTTTTAATTTGATATATCAGTGTTAGGATTTTCCTTTAACCAAGATTTTAGGAATTGAAAATAAAACATTTTTTCAGAGCTTTTCCATATAATTTCATGTAATTTCTTTAAAAATGGAAATATTTTTGTGGATTTTACATTCTGTTGTGTACCATCAATTTGATACACATTGAATGCACGCACACACACACACACACACACACACACACCCCATCAGTCTAACCACCATGTTATTTTTAGGAATGGGTAGGAGAACATTGTTTGAAGGAACCTGAAAGGCTGTGTACAGACAAAGAACTTATCCTGGATCCTGTTCTTTCAAATGTACAAGCACAGAAGTTACTTCAGCTTATCTGTTATCCTCATGGCATTAAAGAATGTACCGAAGGGGACAACCTGCAGAGACAACACATTAAGCGCATTCTTCAGGTAAGTGGGATATTTTAAAAGATTATGTGTCATTGAAACAATTTTTATCTTATAAACAGATCATCTTGTACTGCACCAGCTTATAAATGAGATTTCTACCTTTGTCTTTTAAGTTGAATTTTATATAAATCAAAACAGCTGTGTATGGTTTTTATCTAGGCTGCCTTTGATTCAAGAAAAAGATAAAGGCCTTTTTACTGATTTGAAAACTGCATGTGTAGCAAGAGAAGGTGATTGTGTTCAATTTCTTACAAATTGAGGTTGGTTTATTCATTTCATAGTCAGGGCAAATTTCATAATGTAAAAGGGGAATTAGGATTGTCTGTGAATCGGGCTTTCATAAACCTGGACTTAAACTTACTGAATAGTGAGAATAAGATCTAGTTATTTCAGTTAAATCTCATTGTTAAGTTTCATTTCTGCTTTTTTAATATAATTATCTTACTTTTCAGATGCATATAATTGCTGCAAATTGTATACAGTCATCAGATAAATGAGTAGCGCATTTACATAAGAAATCATTTTTGTGGAGAGATTGTTTAAAATATTTAACCTTTTAAATTATTATTATTATGAATTAATAGACTTTGAGAGAAAAGTAATTACCTTATGCACATCCAGGTCCTAGCAGAATCAAGCTTATTATCTTAATATTACTGTCTAATTCATTGTATCTACATGCACTATCTATAGACTTGGAAACTATTTGATCCATGTGTTTCACTTTGGTGATTTTACTCCTTTATGAAATGGAAAACTGCAAGAGATTCCTTTACTATAAGCCTTTAACACATCTAACATTGGAATTTTTTGAATGCTTTCCAGAATCTTGAGCAGTGGACACTGAGGCAGTCCTGGTTAGAACTTCAGTTAATGATCAAACAGTGTCTGAAGGACCCTGTGAGTACATATGGGAAGGATGTATGTGTATAAAGTTTTGGAGATTTCAAAACTTTGCCATTTTGATGTTGGATGATAAAACATATATGTTCTAGTCTTTTTATGTTTCATCCTAGAGTTCTGGGTCTGTGGCGGAAATGAACAACTTACTGGACAACATTGCAAAGGCAACAATTGAAGTATTCCAACAGTCAGCTGACTTGAACAATAACTCCTCTAATTCAAGCATGGGCCTCTTCAACCCCAACACTATTGGAGGGACTGATACAGGCAGCCAGAGGCAGAATGGAATAAAGACATTTCTAAGGTAAGCTTTTCTTTTATTTTGACTGTCAATTTTTCAGTCTTAAGCCTAGGGGGGTTTATTCACTATGCTTATAAATGTGAATGGAAAATTTGCAAATATGTTCTTTTCAAGAGGATGTTGTTGTTATGTGCCGTCGTGTCGCTTGCAACTCATACCAACCATATGTACAACAGCCCTAAACTGTGCTCTGTCCTGTGTCAGTCTCACTGTCTGCAACACACCCATCCCGATTACCCCAGTCACTGAATCAATCTAC